TGGAGGGAGTGACTGAAGAAAATGGCTTAAAGTTGCAGGAGAGAGGAGTCGTCTCTGGGGCAGGAGATGTGAGAAGACTGCAGCTACAAATGCTGCCAGAAAGGGAGAGTCTCTTTCGAAGAGTGCTACAAGGTGGAAGTGAGTGTATAGAGTACACAGATTGCTGTGACTTTGTCAGTGTCAGGAAGGAGAGGGATTGAGTCGGAAAGAAAATGAATAGGAATGAGATTACATAGATTGGAGCCAGCAGAGTGTGGGTGATGGTGATGGAGTGAGGAAAATGGACAGAGAGGGGAGGAAGGCGAGATCTTGGGGAAAGCCAGTGCCAGAAGCTGAAATGAAGAAAAGGATTTACAAGAGTAAGAAGGGGGGTGTGCTGGAATTTAGATGTGTGGAGCAGAGGAGGGGAGTTCAAGAGAAAAGAAAAGGATTGGGGAAAAAGGAAGAGTGAATCTTTAGGCATTGACCTGTATTTTTATAGTAGCAGCTATACAAGTCATAGAGAGGAAGAAGTAACAGATGCTGCTTTTGTGGGAGTTATGAAATTATCACTTTTAAATTGCCTAGTACACTCAAAGCTCTTTACTGTACGCAAGACACCAGTGAGGTAGTTGCCTGACAATTGATTTGAGTTTTCTAAATAGGTTAGTTTGAGCCAGAATACTTTTGGATGGAAGCTCTAACATCTAAAATATTGGTTGTAGACCTGCTGGATACCGCTGTGTTGCTAGAACTATGGCGTTACATGTCAATGCATTCCTATGGTCATCGTCCACTTGTATGATCTGAAACTTTCAGTTGGGCCTCTCCTGTTTCTAAAACTGATTGGAAGTGCATGGTATATCCCCTGTACCTTGCGTATTTCACAGACAATGTTGATTGTATCCGCATCCTTAAGCAGGATTATTTTAAGCATTACTGCAGACTTGGACTTCTGGTGTTCTTTGCCTGATATTTCCTGGTTACTTCAGTAAAATGGCTCAGTGCAGGTTTTGCCATGGATGGGACTTGGGGATATGTTTTGAAGGTTGGATGCAGTACCCTTTTTTTCTTTCCTCCTTTCCTTCCCTGTCCTCTGAAACACCCTTGCTACCTGATGTATCAAGCTGGCATTTGTTCTTTGATGCATATTGTTTACTGCAGTAATGTTACCGACTTCAGAAGTCACTGTTGCATTGGCATCTTGAATTTAATCTTAAACCTTTTTCCTAGAATTGTACATTTCTTACTGCTTTTAAGCATTGTGGCGTGGTGTGCAAAGTGAAATTGCTATTGCTTCTTACTTCGCAGCTCAGAGGTTCTAAATGAAGTAGATGGTACAGTAAGGATGCCAACAGGAAAGGAAAAGATTGGGGAGAATAAGGAAGCATAGAGGTAAAGGAGTGCTGTTCTAACATGATTTTTTTTCAAAGAAGGGAGTGAGGAAACAAATGGAAAGGGAGAGAAATAGGAATGTATACGGAGTCATTTTAAATGAATTTTTATAAATAACCTGCTTCTTTATGTTCCTGCTTTTTCCTATAGTGACGTTCTTTTATACTGTTACTATCTGTTTTATTGTTATATTCTCTAAGTTCTCAGTGTGACATTTGCACATACGAGTATTGTTAGTTGATCATTAATTGTAGAAAATATCCACTTCTCTGAACTTTTCAAATTTTAATGGAGAAAAGATTGTGCCAGTGGGCACGGCCATGCATTTCTACTTTGTTCTTTCTGTGTTTGGGGGACACATTTCCCAGATGCACACAGTGAGCATTAAGGACATTTTATTAAACTATGGTAGATTGTAAACATTTTGCAAGCCTGTGGCATAACAAAATCCTTCCTCCCAATTTGTGACCTCCCTGGTGTGACTACTCTGGTTAACCTGCTTTGCTATATTGTACAGCCTACCACGTTCCATGTACTGTTTTCCACAAGTTATCTCCCAGTGTTTTAGTAGTATATGACCAATACCTTCTGGTGCTAATATACTTGAATGCATGTCATACGTAAAAAAAATTAGTTTGAAAAAGGAGTAACTTAATGAAAATCAAGTAAATTTGCTCCAGTTAAAAAAAAAAAAAAGCTGCGGAAATTGAAGTCACCTGTATATTCACACACAGCTATAGCCCTGGCAGTAGTAACCCAAGCTTTTCCACACAGTTGCACTCGTGCTTCAACCTTCATCATTAGGGATTAGAAGGTATTTCAGCTACCAAGGCCCATTTTGTACAAATAAGGGTGAAAAATGTAGTGATCTTTTTGATGTAGGCACCTGTTAACTAGGAATTGAGACCAAGGCTCTTTTTACATAAGCTGCTAAATTGCTTATGTAAAGGATCAGTATTAAGTAACTGAATTTTGTTGAAACCAGTGATCTACAGGTGAAAGGCTCACTATATTGTGTCAATTCTGTGAGCCATACAGCTGCCTCAGTAATTCTAGTTTTGATAAATTCTATCCTTGAATATTGAATTCTAGTCTCTATGGATCTTTGACTTGTATGTCATTTGTGGAGTGTACACTTTTCTGCGGTGATGGCTGAAAAGACTTCATTTTATTAACTTACTGAGCTTTTAAAAATATGTAGCAATGCCAATTGAACATAGAATTTTTAGTCTGTGGCAGCAATTTGCACATTTTAATTTTAATCTTCAATCTTTGTGTATGGCAAATAGTTTATCAGTTTGGTTCATTGAGAGTTTATAGTTGATTAGAATTGTTAAACAAGAAAATACCTCTGCCCAGGCAACTAAAATTAACAAGGAAACTTTGACATTCAAGTTGGGTCTCCATGATGCAGGTTTTCACTTCCAAAGAAATTGAGACCTATGCTGCAGCATATTTCCACAGAACTTTTAGGAGATGCTTTCATGGTGACTTGGTCATTCCTTCTCATGACTCTCTGACTCTATCGTTGCTTGGAGAAATGATTCATTTAGGTATTTCGGGTGGCTTTCTTACTACCTGAGAAGCTATGTTGTGCTCTTTACGTGTGAGTGTCATATGCCTAGACATCTTGTGGCTTGCTTAGTTGTGATGTACATGGCAACTACTGAGGTCCTTTTGAAATCATAGATTGGACCTAATGTCAAACTCTCAAGTCCTTTTGTCTTCTTGAAATGTTATTTTGCAGCAGACTTATTGATATGTCTGCAATAAAGTAACAAATGAACACAAAGGTGCAGAAGATCCTTTCCCTAGTTCCAGGCAGTTTCAGATTTGATAAATTAGTGGTACACACAACCAATGTGAATAGCAGTTGTTTTTCTCCCATCTTTCTCCAAAGTCCCTTTCTTTTGATGTATGTGGCACTTCCTGAGGAGATACTAGAACAATCAATGCACTGGCTTGTGGGAGGGGTTGATGAGGAAAGCAGAAGTATTGGAACCTGTGGCCCTGACAGTATCTTCCCAAGTTCTAGAAAAAGTTTTCTTTTTCTAACGTGAGGAGGATAGATACTCTAAAAAATTATGTATCTTTGTAACTTTAGACTTTTTTGAGCAATATCTGGACAAAGGGAGTTCAGTCTCTTTTGGATACCTATCCACAGTTAGTGGTGCAAGAGGCACAATAAGAGATCTGCAGGATTCATCTTCTAATGGTTGTGTTCTTGAAGGCTTCCTCTAATTAATGTTTCTCAAACTTTTTTTTTTTTTTTTTTTTTTTCTTGAACCACTTGAAAATTGCTGATGGTCTCGGTGGACCATTTAATGAATGATCTTTCCAAATGTTTGTACCATTAGCTAACTATTGTAAAGTGCTTTGGATAAAAGCACTATATATATATATGTATATGTATATGTATGTATATATAAAAAAAACCCCTTAATAAACGTTTTTTGTTCTACAAATAAAAGCACACAACTCATATTTTAATATCAGTAGTCTTACCTTTCTAATGCAATGGATGTGCCCTCTCTCCCCCACTGTGGCAGCCACCGAGCTGGGGCTGGTAAAGAGGGGGGTCTCTCCCGAGCCATAGCTGAGGCTGGGAAGGAGGGCCATCTCTTCCCGGCAGCCGCAGCCCTGGAGCTGGGGCAAGTTGCCTCTTTCTCAGCACATCCCAAATTCCCCCCCACCTCCTCTTTTCACCCCACTTCCCCCTACTGCCTAGTCCCCCCCAAGGCCACCACCTCACCTTATATGTGCGCCTTCTCCAGGGTCCAGGCACCTAATTAGTGGAGCCACGCCTGCGTGGCTCCACTAATTAGTGGGCAGCCCTTCATTCTCACGTGTGCAGCTACCCAGGCGTGCACCTTAGAGGGAACTATCCGCGGACCACCTGAATGGAGCTCGTCCACGGACCACAATTTGAAAACCTCTGCTCTAGTAGGTTTGCCACTTAAACCCACTTTATAACCTGCATATACACGTAAAGTTAGCGCACGAACTGCCTTTGATTTTAGGCTTTGTCATTTGATTTTGGCAATATAAAGGACACATTTTTGTAATAATTATCTTAAGAGAATGGTTTATCTTATCTTGCAGTCTTCTCTGATTAGTTTTTCAGAAAGACAGTGATACTACAAATACACTGAACTCTGGCATAATTCAGATTAGAAAAGCTGTTAAGGTTACCTGTTACTAGGTGTACTCAGGAAAAATTGAATTTGTTTTGAGACTCAGAAAAAGGCCAAGAATCATTGTAGTAAAATGGTTCAAAGCATGTATGTGGAGGCAGTTTAGTAGAGCAACGTTTTGAGAGAGAACCAGCATCATGGGTTAAGCGATGTCTGTTTTGGAAACCTGGAAATTAACCTTCTAGTAATTAATGAAACCTATTCCCTGGATGTAAATGGTGGTTGAGGCTATAGCACATGCTTCATTTTCTGAGTTATAGTTTGTTCTCATCCCTCTTAATCTTGGTAAAACGATTTTTTGATCTAAAAGCACTTGTTCTGGATTGGTTGATTCAGGGCATGGGAAAGAGCAATTTCTTGTCTGTAAATTAGTTTCTTTGTCTTAGATCCACCAATCCGGTGACCCCTCTAAATTTAGTTGCTACCGGAGTCATGGTAAGCTGTATAGGTTGCCTTGTCTTTCTAACAGCATTAGGAGTACGTAATTGGGATTTCGTTCAAGAAAGAAGTAGGTACACCAAGCTGAAGATGATTGGCTGCTCTCTTTTGACAGACAAGTCTGAGAAGGAAACCCCATTCGAATCCCCATTCATTCTGGATTGGTGGATCTGGAGCTCAGAAACAAAGTTTCAGGTAAGAAATTACCCTGTACTATATCTTACTGCTTCTGCTTAGTTGCATTTGTCTGAAAGTTCAACACTTCGCTTTTTCTGCATTATCTCCCTGAAAATATTACAGGATGAAAAAATGTTAGCTATTTACCGTGTGTGTTTAGTTTAAAAACAGTAAATATGTTCAGTATATACATGTATAACTTTTTAGCAAGTTACTTTTGCTAATGGATACATTTTTAGAACAGACTACAATCCATAAACTTTGTATCTCCTGGTGAAATAGAAAACAATATTTAGGCATGCATGGATGTTCAAAGTAGGTAGTATACAAGACAACAGTGGGAGGAAAAAATAGTTTTTTTTTTTTTTTTTTTTTTTGAAGGTGCTAATGAAGTTAGAAGTTCAGACTTTCAGGACCTTTTTTGTTAAGCCTTAATTGTTACATTGCTGACCCTATCTATCCTATGATTTTTTTAACCGTGTACTATCCTGTGTTCTCTACAATTTACAATTGTTAATATATACAAGGGACAAATGTTTTTCTTTGTCTGCAGTACAGTTTCTAGTTGTGCGTGTATTGACGAGCTAAAGCACGATTAGAAATCCTAGTGTACATAGCACTTGGTATGACATTTTTAAACTCTTAATAAAAGTTACGTTTAGAATGTAGTTAGTTTATAAAACACAAATGAGCCAGTTTGAATAATTGGCTTTCCTGAGCAATTTTTGTTGAGTTACAGCAGGTTGATTTTACAGTAGATTGGTACAAACAAATTGCTTTTTCTCAGTTGTAGTTTTCAAGTGACCTAGAATAGATTCCTCTCTCAAAGAGAGATTGAAATATCTCTAAAATACTGCAATGTTAGAATTTTTTTTTAAACAGCCCTGAAAGGTATTTGTGTGTAGTAGGGAGGTGGGGATCTGTTTTAAGTACAAAGGAGATTGCTGGACAGAAAAAGGGTACTTGTCTTAAGTTAGCAGAGGGCTATCTAGGCCTTCTACCTGTGCTGCCATTCAGCTTTACTCTCACTTAAATTACTTTAATGGACTTCTCTTGACATGGTATTCCATATATTTCCAATGCTCTTCATCCTCTGTCCTCTCATACGCAACAGATTTGTGTATAATTCCTAATGGTAGTAACACTAAACTCAGTGTGTTGAGGACAACACACCCCTTGTTAGCTTTTCAGGAGTCTCCCATTTCCTGTTTTTTTAGATTTACATCTGGTTTAACCTTAACTTCCATCCAAGTTTGATACTTCTGGGGCATCTCTGTGTGTTCTCTTCTGAAGAGAATCATTACTTTTTTAAAACAAAGATTCTTACAATAATCAATTTTTAATATAGAAGTAACTTTTGTGGTTAGGTCTTGTGCTCTTGTGTGATGTTTCTTGTTTTGCTGAATTATACATTCATTTCCTTGGTCTGTAGTCTTTTCATATATAAATAAAAATTGTAGTTGGGTTTAACAGATTAAAATATAAATTAATGATTTTCCTTACTGACGTCTGCAGCTTTTGGGTTTCATTTTATTTTGGCTGCCTTGGATCTTATTTGGTTAGGATGAGGGAAGCCCTGGGTATGTTTCTTTCTGTTGTATCTTCAATTTCTGAACTATGGAGGACAAATGGAAACTTTCAGGCTAACCTGAATTTAAGAAGTATTTGCTGCTGTTTGAAATTGGAGAAGATCACATATTGTGGGTTTTTTGGGTCCCATGAACCTCAGTGGTTGAACCTAGTTCTGGAATTACAATGGGGAATATGCTACTGATGGCATATTTGGTAGTCCCCATCTGTTCTTTTTTTAAAACCATGAAAATTCAACAGTGAGCCTGACATGGTTTTTGAAAAATGAAGAAATCAAAATAGGGAAACTACATTTCTGGTTGCCTTATGCAAACCATTTAAAATAAAAATTGAATCAGAAAATGAGCTATTCTTGCAAATCAAGAGTACTTTAGTCACTTGACTTTATGGGATTTTAATACACATTGGTTTGTATGAAATTATATTCAATTTTTGGAAGATAAAAAAGGATTATTCATATTGAAGTGTGTGGCTCTACTTGCTTTGTAAAGTTAACCACATATACAAGTGTTTGAAGGTTTAGGGCCTATGTTTTGTCCAGTATTTAAATCTTGTACAAATAGTGGAAATGCTTTCACAATTTTTTAAAATTACAATGTGTTTAAACTTTTTCCTGCAGTATTTGAAACCTGAAAGTGAAACCCTACTTTATAATGTGCTAAACTGATGCTTTAATTTGACCAATTTTGCAAATGTTAAAATTACAGTCTACCTTGTGTGCAAGACTGTTAGAACATGTTAGTTATCAAGTGTTAGCACACCTTTAAATCCTAACATAGACAAGCCCATTGATGAGAGATCCTGAGCCTGCTCTTTAACTCTACCATTACTTCTAAGACCATTTTCAAACATAATTTTCTAATTGCCTAACTGCTATGCAGTAAGCCTTTGCTAGTCCTCTGACAACTCCCCACATCCACTTTCCACCTTTCATCTTATTTCTCAGACCTGATACACTGTTAGCATGATGTGCTACTGTTTCCAGACAGGTACGTGACACCATTCTTTCTGGTGTCTGAGAGAGTAGAAAGTAAGGTACTGCTTTTCATTTTGTCCTTCCAAAAAGACTATTTTAATGTAACACAGCTGATTTGCCAGTCTAGAAGGGAACATAACTTTTCTGAATTTTCAGAACATCATTAGAGATGGGGTGCATGTGTGTTAGGGAAAGTAAGTTTAATTTAGATGTAATATATGTTGGAAAATACAGCTTTGTCTCAATCAGTTAATACCATTTAGTGACATTGATGTAATTGTATTAGTGTTTTCTCTGGTAGTCCTCTTGGGTCTTTATGAAAACAAGATATTGCATCTCATGAGTCTTTTCCTGGTGAACAAATTAAAATGGAGTAAGATTTTTTTACGCTCAAGGAAAAGCACTTAAATCTCTCCCCCACTGAATTTATACTCCTTTTGTAGCAAATATGTACTTTGATCTTCAGGAACAAAGTGGGATGGCAGTATTGATCACCCTTGTGTGAATTCATATAGTCCTGTGTAGAAGAACTGTTTGGTAAAAGGGAGAACTTTTTTAATAGATCAAATTACTTTCTATTTATAGCTTACTTTAAACTAACTTATTAATGAATTTGTAAGAATCTTCCCAAAGTTCAAGGAAATTATACACAGATATTGAATGACAATTGGAAGGCTGTATCACTGGGTTGATTTTTGAATGCCTGTTGTTTGGTTTAACTGGACTATTATCTAATGGACGAGAGACTCAGTGATCAGTTTCTTGAATCTTTTTAGCACTTTAAACAATAAAGAAATGCCCAAAACTTTCACAAAGTCTTTAAGATGAATTTGGTTGATTGCAACAGAGTAGGTATGCGCTGACTTCTGAGAAACTCAATCTTAAAGTATTTTAGTTAATCTCAAGTACTAAAATGGAAAAGTAAATTGACTCTGTTGTACAAAGAGAGTTTTCTTAACTTGTGAATAAAATGAGAAAGTAACTAAATGCCCTTCCTGAGTTGAACTAGAACTTTGATTTCATAACATGCATTTGGTACCTCACATGTTTTGGAAATATTGTAAACATGGTATTCAGGCCACATTCGATTTAGAATGTAGACACTTAGGACTAGATACACCAGTTGCGTTTTGTTTAGGAGTAGGTGGTGATATGATACCACTATTTCAAAAAATACTTTCTGGGGACTCTGTGCTTACACTGCATGTGCACAAGAGAACTTGGTTTTGATATTAAAGGGGGAAGTGGTACTGTTGGTCTGACACAAATTGTCTTGCATTTTAGAACATTTTAATAGAAATAGGTTGCACAAGACATCCTGAACTTTGTGTGTGTATTTAAGTGCACAGCATAAAAGAATGCATCATTATCAAGCCAAGCTGGTACTTGTGAAACACGGTTACTCCTATCGCATGCAAGTCTCTCACTTTATTTCCACTAAATATTCACAACTTATAAGCATACTTTTCTAATAGAATTTGCACTCTCCCACCACATGCAAATCTTCAAATTACTTCTTCTCAATACCTACTAGTTCTGCTTATGACTATATTGGGTGAGTCATGTAAGTAAAGTAAAAATGCGAGATAAGGTCTGCATGATACCTCAGGTAGCTGAAGGGGATTGACTGCAGCTGGTGACTACTTCCTGCTGGGTGTAAAATACTGAAGGCCCTTGAATAGCATTATCACTTTACAATTTGTTCTGTGATTCATTTTTTTTTGGGGGGGGGGGGAGAGGGGTCTTAGAACCTAAATTAAAATTTGACTTGTGATCATGGAATTTCTTTCAGAAATGGTCATATCTTGTTTCCGTTCACTAGGACAAAGCTTTCTTTTTAGTGACCCTTGTTAAGAGGACTAGGTGTAGACTACTAGCGAAGATGTCTTGTCTCTATCCCAGACCTAGAACAGCATTTTAAGTAGCAGCAGTTAACCCATGAGTCTTAATTTTCCAGTGCTGAGTGCTAATGCACATATATGCATTAAAGATTAGCAGGGATAGCTCCAGTTCCACTATTGTTGAGGTTAAACCAAAGCAAGTTAAACCTCACCAAGTTACAGAAGACTGTGATAATGTGTATCTCTTTTGTATCCACAAATCAAGGGAAAGCGAAGGCTTAACTTTTCCTACTGTAGCTTAATGTTGCAAATATGGATCTCTATATGGGGAAATCCAGAATACTAGATATTGGTTGACTAATTTATTGGCACAAGAGAGTTGGCTAGGGATGGCATTTCAGACTCTGGTTTTAAATGGGACTCTTAACATAACTGAACGGACTTTTGGTTTAATTTTCTTTCTTATATTAAACTGTAAAAGAAGTTGACAGCCCGGGAATGTGGATAGATTGTGTATTGACTGTTCACATACCTCTAGCTTAAAAAACCCAAACCTCTAAAAATGAGGTAGTGTGCTTTAGCTACTATTTAAACCTCATTTGATTTATTGT